GGGTGCTGTAACTGTTTGTGTTGCAGGAGATGAAGGATGCTGTAACTGTTGTGTTGCAGGAGATGAAGGGTGCTGTAACTGTTGTGTTGCAGGAGATGAATGATGCTGTAACTATTGTGTTGCAGGAGATGAAGGGTGCTGTAACTGTTGTGTTGCAGGTGGTGAAGGGAGCTGTAACTGTTGTGTTGCAGGTGGTGAAGGGAGCAGTAACTGTTGTGTTGCAGGAGATGAAGGATGTTGTAACAGTTGTGTTGCAGGTGGTGAAGGGTGCTGTAACTGTTGTGCTGCAGGAGATGAAGGATGTTGTAACTGTTGTGTTTTGCAGGTGGTGAAGGGAGCTGTAACTGTTGTGTTGCAGGAGATGAAGGGTGTTGAAACTGTTGTGTTGCAGGAGATGAAGGGTGCTGTAACTGTTGTGTTGCAGGTGGTGAAGGGTGCTGTAACTGTTGTGTTGCAGGAGATGAAGGGTGCTGTAACTGTTGTGTTGCAGGTGGTGAAGGGAGCTGTAACTGTTGTGTTGCAGGAGATGAAGGGAGTTGTAACTGTTGTGTTGCAGGTGGTGAAGGGTGCTGTAACTGTTGTGTTGCAGGAGATGAAGGGTGCTGTAACTGTTGTGTTGCAGGAGATGAAGGGTGCTGTAACTGTTGTGTTGCAGGAGATGAAGGGTGCTGTAACTGTTGTGTTGCAGGAGATGAAGGGAGCTGTAACTGTTGTGTTGCAGGAGATGAAGGGTGCTGTAACTGTTGTGTTGCAGGAGATGAAGGGTGCTGTAACTGTTGTGTTGCAGGTGATGAAGGGTGTTTGTAACTGTTGTGTTGCAGGAGATGAAGGGTGCTGTAACTGTTGTGTTGCAGGAGATGAAGGGTGCTGTAACTGTTGTGTTGCAGGAGATGAAGGGTGCTGTAACTATTGTGTTTGCAGGTGGTGAAGGGTGCAGTAACTGTTGTGTTGCAGGAGATGAAGGGTGCTGTAACTATTGTGTTGCAGGTGGTGAAGGGTGCTGTAACTATTGTGTTTGCTGGTGGTGAAGGGTGCTGTAACTGTTGTGTTGCAGGTGGTGAAGGGTGCTGTAACTGTTGTGTTGCAGGAGATGAAGGGTGCTGTAACTGTTGTGTTGCAGGTGGTGAAGGGTGCTGTAACTGTTGTGTTGCAGGAGATGAAGGGTGCTGTAACTGTTGTGTTGCAGGAGATGAAGGGAGCTGTAACTGTTGTGTTGCAGGAGATGAAGGGTGCTGTAACTATTGTATTGCAGGAGATGAAGGGTGCTGTAACTGTTGTGTTGCAGGAGATGAAGGGTGCTGTAACTGTTGTGTTGCAGGAGATGAAGGGTGCTGTAACTGTTTTGTTGCAGGAGGTGAAGGTGCTGTAACTGTTGTGTTGCAGGCGGTGAAGGGTGCTGTAACTATTGTGTTGCAGGAAATGAAGGGTGCTGTAACTGTTGTGTTGAAGGGTGGTAACTGGTAGGTTGCAGGAGATGACTGGTGCTGTATGGTTAGCAATGGTGAAAGGTGGAACTGGTGGGAGGATGGCACTGGGATGATGGCACTAGTGGAGGGTGGCACTGGTGGGAGGGTGGCACTGGTGGGAGGGTGGCACTGGTGGGAGGGTGGCACGGGTGGGAGGGTGGCACTGGTGGGAGGGTGGCACTAGTGGACGGTGGCACTGGTGGGAGGATGGCACTGGTGGGTGGGTGGCACTGCTGGAGGGTGGCACTTTTGGGAGGGTGGCACTGGTGGGAAGGTGGCACTGGTGGGAGGGTGGCACTGGTGGGAGGGTGGCACTGGTGGGAAGGTGGCACTGGTGGGAGGATGGCACTGGTGGGAGGGTGGCACTGGTGGGTGGCACTGGTGGGAGGATGGTACTGGGATGATGGCACTGGTGGGAAGGTGGCACTGGTGGGAGGATGGCACTGGTGGGACGATGGCACTGGTGGGAGGGAGGCACTGGTGGGAAGGTGGCACTGGTGGGAAGACGGCACTGGTGGGAAGGTGGCACTGGTGGGAAGGTGGCACTGGTGGGAGGGTGGCACTAGTGGGAGGGTGGGAGGGGGGCACTGGTGGGACGGTGGCACTGGTGGGAGGATGGCACTGGTGGGAGGGTGGCACTAGTGGGAGGATGGCACTGGGATGATGACACTGGTGAGAAGGTGGCACTGGTGGGAGGATGGCACTGGTGTTACGATGGCACTGGTGGGAGGGAGGCACTGGTGGGAAGGTGGCACTGGTGAGAAGACGGCACTGGTGGGAAGGTGGCACTGGTGGAAGGGTGGCACTGGTGGGAGGGTGGCACTGGTGGGAAGGTGGCACTGGTGACAGGTGGCACTGGTGGGAGGGTGGCACTGGTGGGACGGTGGCACTAGTGGGACGGTGGCACTGGTGGGAGGGTGGCACTGGTGGGAGGGTGGCACTGGTGGGACGGTGGCACTAGTGGGAGGGTGGCACTGGTGGGACGGTGACACTAGTGGGACGGTGGCACTGGTGGGAGGGTGGCACTGGTGGGAGGGTGGCACTGGTGGGAGGGTGGTACTGGTGGGAGGGTGGCACTGGTGGGACGGTGGCACTGGTGGGAGGGTGGCACTGGTGGGTCGGCGGCACTGGTGGGACGGTGGCACTAGTGGGACGGTGGCACTGGTAGGAGGGTGGCACTCGTGGGACGGTGACACTGGTGGGACGGTGACACTAGTGGGACGGTGGCACTGGTGGGACGGTGGCACTATTGGGAGGGTGGCACTGGTGGGAGGGTGGCACTAGTGGGACGGTGGCACTGGTGGGACGGTGGCACTGGTGGGAGGGTGGCACTGGTGGGAGGGTGGCACTGTTGGAGGGTGGCACTGGTGGGACGGTGGCACTGGTGGGAGGGTGGCACTGGTGGGAGGGTGGCACTGGTGGAGGGTGGCACACTGGTGGGGACGGTGGCACTGGTGGGAGGGTGGGTGACACACTGGTGGGTGGGAACGGTGGCACTGGTGGACAGGGTGGCACTGGTGGGAGGGTGGCACTGGTGGGACGGTGGCACTGGTGGCAGGGTGGCACTGGTGGGAGGGTGGCACTGGTGGGAGGGTGGCACTGGTGGGAGGGTGGCACTGGTAAGAGGATGGCACTGGTGGAGGGTACCATTGGTGGGAGGGTGGCACTGTTGAAGGGTGGCACTGGTGGGAGGGTGGCACTGGTGGGAGGGTGGCACTGGTGGAAGGGTGGCACTGGTGGAGGGTGGCACTAGTGTAGGGTGGCACTGGTGGGTGGCACTGGTAGAGGGTGGCACTGATGGGAGGGTGGCTCTGATGGGAGGGTGGCACTGTTGGAGGGTAGCACTGGTGGGAGGGTGGCAGTGGTGGGAGGATGGCACTGGTGGGAAGGTGGCACTGGTGGGAGGGTGGCACTGGTGGAGGGTTACACTGGTGGGAGGGTGGCACTGGTGGGAGTTTGGCACTGGTGGGAGGGTGGCACTGGTGGCAGGGTGGCACTGGTGGGAGGGTGGCACTGGTGGGAGGGTGGCACTGGTGGGAGGGTGGCACTGGTAAGAGGATGGCACTGGTGGAGGGTACCATTGGTGGGAGGGTGGCACTGTTGAAGGGTGGCACTGGTGGGAGGGTGGCACTGGTGGGAGGGTGGCACTGGTGGAAGGGTGGCACTGGTGGAGGGTGGCACTAGTGTAGGGTGGCACTGGTGGGTGGCACTGGTAGAGGGTGGCACTGATGGGAGGGTGGCTCTGATGGGAGGGTGGCACTGTTGGAGGGTAGCACTGGTGGGAGGGTGGCAGTGGTGGGAGGATGGCACTGGTGGGAAGGTGGCACTGGTGGGAGGGTGGCACTGGTGGAGGGTTACACTGGTGGGAGGGTGGCACTGGTGGGAGTTTGGCACTGGTGGGAGGGTGGCACTGGTGGGCGGATGGCACTGGTGGGAGGGTGGCACTGGTGGGAAGGTGGCACTGGTGGAAGGGTGGCACTGATGGAGGGTGGCACTGGTAGGAGGGTGGCATTGGTAGGAGGGTGGCACTAGTGGGAGGGTGGCATTGATAGGAGGGTGGTACTGGTTTGAGGGTGGCATTGGTAGGAGGGTGGCACTGGTGGAGGGTGGCACTGGTGGAGGGTGGCACTGGTGAAGGGTGGCACTGGTGGAGGGTGGCACTGGTGGAGGGTGGCACTGGTGGAGGTTGGCACTGGGGAAGGGTGGCACTGGTGGAAGAGTGGCACTGTTCAGGGTGATACTGGTGCAGGGTGGCACTGGTGGAGGGTGGCACTGGTGGAGGGTGGCACTGGTGGGAGGGCGGCACTGGTGGGTTGGTGGCACTAGTGGGAGGATGGCACTGGTGGGAGGGTGGCACTGGTGGGATGGTGGCACTGGTGGGATGGTGGCACTGGTGGGAGGGCGGCACTGGTGGGAGGATGGCACTGGTGGGGGTGTGGCACTAGTGGCAGGGTGTTACTGGTGGAGGGTGGCACTGGTGCAGGGTGGCACTGGTGGAGGGTGGCACTAGTGGAGGGTGGCACTGGTGGGAGGATGGCACTAGTGGAGGGTGGCACTGGTAGAGGGTGGCACTGGTGGGAGGATGGCACTGGTGGGAGGGTGACACAGGTGGAGGTTGGCACAGGTGGGAGGTTGGCACTGGGGTAGGGTGGCACTAGTGGGAGGGTGGCACTGGTGGGTGGCACTGGGAGGGTGGCCCTGGTGGAAGAGTGGCACTGTTCAGGGTGGTACTGGTGGGAGGGTGGCACTGGTGGAGGGTGACACTGGTGGTGGGTGGCACTAGTGGGAGGGTGGCACTGGTGGAGAGTGACACTACTGGAGAGGTGGTACTAGTGGGAGGGTGGGACTAATGGGAGGATGGCATTGGTGGAAGGGTGGCACTGTTCAGGGTGGCACTGGTGGGAGGGTGGCACTCGTCTGCTGGCACACTTACGGTTGTATTGCAAAGATAAACGCAAATGTATTTCAGTATTATTCATGGTGCTAGTGGCACAATGCTGATGTGTAACTCTTGTGTTGCAGGACGTGAAGCTGCTTCTGCTGCCGTGGCTGGTGGACGCTGTTCTGGTCATTATTGTGGATCTGGTCTTCGTGGCTTACATCGTCTACCAGGAGCATGTGAGTCTCTCTCTCTCACTCTGTGTCCAAAGCTGTATGTGGACAGTAATAATGGCCGCTGTTTCAAGCAAGGAACCCAAGACCAATCATCCCTGCCGTCCCACACGTCCCTTCCCAGACATCCCATCGGAGCCTCACCGTTCCAGACACCCCATCCCAGACTCACCGTTCCAGACACCCCATCCCAGACTCACCGTTCCAGACACCACATCACAGACTCACCGTTCCAGACACCACATCCCAGATTCACCGTTCCAGACACCACATCCCAGACTCACCGTTAAAGACACCATATCCCAGACTCACCGTTAAAGACACCACATCCCAGACTCACCGTTAAAGACACCACATCCCAGACTCACCGTTCCAGATACCTCATCCCAGACTCACCGTTCCAGACACCCCATCCCAGACTCACCGTTCCAGACACCTCATCCCAGACTCGCCATGCAACCCGTTCTCGCACTTGCTTATAGTCAATACTGGCTTATTAATAAGTGCATATGAGACATACTAATTTATTGTGAATATTTTAGTTTACCTTGAAAAGCTTAATAGAAAACACCGACCTAACCTAACCTTCTTAGTATGTTAAGATAAGCATCTTATTGCCTCTTAATTACAATTATTACTTAACCTATACCTATATTGATATTACAGTTTTATAAAAATTTTAAAACAAAACCAAAATATTTAAATAAATTGTAAAATAACTCAGGATATTGTCAAATATTGTATAAAATCTCCATTGTTTAATAAAATTTAAAAATAAATTCCTAATATCAAAACTGGTGTTTAGTGAACCTATAGGAAGAGCTTGTACCTTAAAAAAAATATAACTTGGCATATACCACATATGTACTTATTAATCAGCCAAATAGTGACTACAAGCAATAAGTCATATATGTACTGTCTTGTGCGAGAGCGGGTTGCACCGTTCCAGACACCACATCCCAGACTCACCTTTCCAAACACCCCATCCCAGACTCACTGTTCCAGACTCTCTCACTCTCTCTTTTTCTCTCTCCCACTCTCTCTCTCTCTCAGTCTATTTGCTTGTATGTCTGTATGTCTGTCTGCCTGTTACTCTGTATATCTGTAACAGAGCAATAATTAAATAATCAGCATTACCATTTTTGAAGACGCTCACTTTGAAAATTCTCAAAACTACATTATTAAAATGTATTCAAATCGTTTTAAAAATATTACTGTTTGCAGGGAATTCTAGAGTCACCGTTTCAGACACTGCAGACTTAAACAAATATCTAATGAAAACAGACTTAAACAAATAATATATCTAAAATATCTAAAATATATCTAAAAATATCTAAAGAAAACAGACTTAAACAAATATCTAATGAAAATCTCACCGACCTAACAAATTCTCAAAGACCTGAAAGTTGTAGCATTAAATATTATGATAGATATCGTGAGGAGACATTCACATATGGGACTAATAGAACAAGAACCCGGCAATGTGATGTTATAGTGGCCAGAATACGCCTGGGATATAGACGTATCTGGCAGCTTTCTCAAAACCCAAATGTCGAGTACACAATGTGTCAACTTTGTGAAAGAGAAAACATGCACTCTCTTGAACATTATATTGTAGAATGTCCCATACTGGCTGACTTTCGCCCTCCTGGGCTAAGGTATGCTGAACTCTGTAGTTACTATATGAGTACTGGAACACTTGATGATATATTGAACTTGTATCCAAGATTGACCATGTAATATATCAATCATACAATGTATATATATGATGTAACTATATAACCTGAGCTTGTAAAATCACCTTCATCACCTTCAGTGATTAAGTGCTTAATTGCACACTAGTTTCTTTATCAGCTATCTCACCCTGTCAGAGTAAATGAGACAAATGTATGTGAATGCATGTGTGTGTGTATATATGTATGTATATGTGTGTGTGTGTATGTATATGTATGGGTATAAAGTATATATGGAAGCTGATCAGAATTACATTTCACCTTTGTGAATGTACATTAATGACACTATGTAAAAGACACATCTAACGCTTTATGTAGGCCATACGTAAATCTGTGTATATATGTATTTACGTATGTAGGTTAGCTTAGCATTTTAAAAGCACCGAATCACCTTCTGTGGTTGAGTGTTCAATAAACCCTTGAACTATATGTTTAACACTTCTCTAACCCCGTCCATGGAGGACAGAAGAAAATGTATATATGCTGGTTAGCATTGTAAATGTATGGCCACGTCTGTGGTACAAAATAATAATAATAAAAAAAACCTGTATCCTAGACTTACTGTTCCAGATACTCCATCCCATACTCACTGTTCCAGATACTCCATCCCAGAATTACTGTTCCAGACACTATCCCAGACTCACTGCTCTAGTCACTCCATCCCAGACTCACCGTTCCAGATGCTCCATCCCAGACTCACTGTTCCAGATATCTCTCACAAATAACAAGTGTCCCTGACTTATAATCCCAAACACAACAGCCCAGATATTCCATTCCAGTAAACTGGAAAGAGAGGACGGGAAAGCCATTGACCGTGAGGAATGGGAGAGATGCGCTCTCAGGAAAGGGAACATTCCCTGAATAAATAAACCATTATGAATATATTAATGTCATTAGAGGACCATAAGAATGAGAAGCTGACGGTGTGGAACTTATATCAATATCAGTGAGGAACTTAAAGAAAGTATAAGTGAACTAATAGAAAGCATTAAAAAGTGCTTTAATATATGAAGGAGGAGAGAAAGGAAAGGGAGGAGGAGGAGATGGGAGAGCAGCAGTAACTAGTATATTATCATGTATGGCAATTTTAGGAAATACAGGAGAGGATACAACGGAGAAATAAGGTAACTGAACACTTAAATTATAAATTAAAATGAGCTATAAACTCCACATAGCCACCTTGAAACATGTAGGAAAATTGAAGAAATATAATCTCTAAAGGAAAGTCATCGTGAATTGGATACGGGACAAAACGAAAACAGTGGAAGACGAAGGCAAGATAACAATAAAAGGAGGAAGTCAATGTTGGAGTGAATGAAACAATAAAAGTGTGAAATGAACATATATATAAAATTTTGTGAAGAAGCAAAAGGCTTAGAAGGAAAGCAGATGATTAACTCAGTGATAAATGCACTATCAGCCAAATAAGTTGTGAAGTTTGAGAGGGAAAGATCTGTGATAATCAGCAATCGACCAGTCATATTAAAACACATATCAAGAGAGAAAAGACGAAGATCGGAATTATTTAATAAAAATCTACACAAAATCTGGCCAGAGGCAAAAACTGAAATGGAACATTTCTGTACGGTAGGTTCATTTCAGACTTAAAGAACAGAACAGTGAAAATTATGTTTCTGAACAGTTATATACTTAACCCGAGCAGAATGAAGAAATTTGAGAGATAAACAGAAGTAATATGAAGTATATACTAAGCAGGATATATCGGTGAAGGATTGGAAGACAGCAAAGAAAATCAGGGAAGATATGCAAGTTTGACAGCCAGAACAATGTCATAAAACAGTGCACAAAACACGGATATTAGAGAGAGGAGAGTACAAGAGTGGGACAAAGGGGTGCTGACCAACTTGATAAGGCACCCAACCAAAGAAGGCAACATGAGTAGAAAGAGCAATATACACCTTTCCTTATCAGTAATGGAAATGGAGCAACAGGGAGAACTATTCCCCCCCCCCTCCCCCTCCTCGGGAAAAACAATCCCAGCCAAATAGTGATAAGAAGAATTAAAGATATATACAGATATGCAGAAGGAGTTAGAAATAAAGTGATAGAGTTACAGGTAATGGATGAAGAAGAGCAACCACACCTGAACAAAAGAATAAATCCACAAGGGCCGTGATAAGGGTTCGAACCTACGTACGGGATGATCCCAGACGCGCCTTTGTCGATTGCGCCACGATATAGTCAAATGAATTGCATCGGGGAATGCTACTGCTCTCACATGGATCCCGCAGCCTCTCCCAGACATAAACCGGGGCTTTACACAATTCCCCCGTGCACCCAGGCTCTGTCAACAAGCTGTTCTACCTCTTCACCCTTACTTCAATACTCACAAAAATCACAATAGCGTATTGTGTAGTGCAACCACACATAACCACAATCATGTGAATAAAACTAACATAAAATGTAACCTTCCAACATTGATATCACGTAACACAGATTGGATGAACAGGTACTGAAGTGGTGTGTAACCTTGTTGTTGTAACTAAACTGGAACTTTGTGTAAGTAACAATTATCAGAGAAAACCGATCAGCATAAGTACAAATTACCATATCTTTCTTTCCTGTCACACACATACACCCATACTCCCATCTCCTCCCTCCCTGAGCACACAAACCTGTACCTGTCTTCTCTTCTACTACCCACAGTCGCTCTGCTCCTTCTCCTGTCTCACTGCCCCCACACATCCTTACCTGTCTCGCCCCTTCCTGCTCACACAAGCCCACCATAGGAAATAGTCACTTAAAAAACTAGGTTTTGGGCTGGTGTAATATATAAGTGGGGTCCATCCAGCTTGGTCCTGGCACCAACACCACTGCTCCTAATTAATGTAAATGACCTGTTTGAGGAAGTGATATGGTGGGAACCGACCTGTGAGATTTATATTTATTTGATTTATATGAATTTATATTTACGTTAATTTATATACTTCGATAGCAATTTGTATAATGATAAGTGGACTGTATTTCTGCAATAATCTCATAATCTCACAAATCGATCCTCTACACATTAGGGGGGGGGGGTTTATATTAATTTAATTTATATATATGCAGCCAATCAAACTGCAGTATTAGACTACATACATTGAAGAGGTTCCTTATCTTATTTGTACAGCAGGCCTTAGTCCACCAGGTATAACCAGGATGTAGACACCACATTTTCCCTCTTTGAGGTAGCTTCCATCACCCTGGTAACTGATGCACAAAGCATGCTTTCTCGTCTTGACCTGTCAAAAGGGCGCTAGCTGTAAAGCC